TTTCCAAGGGTTGTGCCAGGGAAACGGAGTACGACCCGCGTGAGCTCCGTGCTTGTGGCTGGAAGCATTCACCATATCTAGCCTATGCAGAGCTGACTTTTCTGTGGAGCCGCTCAGCCTTTTTGGCTTCAGCAAGAAGTGTTCTCCCGAATCCCGGTGCACACCCAGCGCTCTCATAATTTGCAAAAGTGTCAGCTTCACCCTGGCTGGTGTGGCTCTATTGGGTTGACCCCGGACCTGCCAACCGAAAAGTCACCAGCTAGATTCCAGGTCAGGGCACATGCCTGGGTTGCTGGCCGGGTCCCGGGTTTTGGGTGTGCGAGAGGCAGCCAATTGATGTTTCTCTCGCACATTGATGTTTCTCTGCCTCTCTTTCTCCCTCCCTTTCCCTGTCTCTAGAAATAAAATAAAAAATAAATAAAGTGCTGGCACCTTATCGCCTATAAGGAGCACCCAGCTCTGGGAATGCACAGGCCCCCATCGCCCGGGCAGGGAACTCGCACCGCTTGCTCGGGTGGGGAAGGGGAACTCCTAGTAAGGCAGGATCCCACGACCCCTCCCAGGTGGCTTCTTCTGGACGTGCTTCTAGCTTCCCAGCTCCTGAGGACCGTGTCCGGCCACCGTCGGAGCCTAGATTCCCTGGCAGGTAGGAGCAGCAGAGTTAAGGATCAGGCAGAAGCCCCATGCCTCCAGCCCTTACTTCTGAAGCGGCTGTCCAGGCGCCTTCTGTCCAGGACCCACAGCAGCCATTCGACTCGCTTCCTGTGCCACGGGCATTGCCAAGTGTGGGTCTGCCACTTTCAGGTCTAAAAGCATCTCGTGCACCCTCCGGAAGAGCCTAAGGAGAGCAGTGCCCAGACCTGGGGAGTTCAAGGCTGTAGGATTGGTGACCCCCTCGGGTCGCTTGCTAGTCAGGGTCCGACCACACGGAATAGAGGCCACGGAGCCCGGCTCTAAGCACAGCTTGAGACTTTAGGAAGGACACTAAGAAGGGCGCAGAGGCGATCCACTACCGGGGAGAGGTCTCCGACGGACTCTTTCTCTCCCAGGATGGGCACCCCGTTGTGTGTTACCCTCGGAGTCCACAAGTGCGCGGGCTGCAACCACCAACCGCACTTGTAAAGTTTCCTCCGCTGAGGGAGCCTGGGAGCACCACGATCCACCTCCATTCTAAGCCCACTTCTACTTCAATTTGTTCTGTTGGGCTTTGGCCATGCCCAGGCCCTGGTCAGAGAAACAACAAGCTCTTTTGCTGGGGAACCAGGTAAACACAGCGTCGGGGAACAGTTCCTTCAGAGCGAGCCCCGCCCCTTCCTGCAGGCCTAGTGTATCCCGCCAACCCAACTTCCGGGCTCGTTAGGACCCGAAGCAATGACAATCGTTGACTGACCCCCTGCTACATACCTACCTCAACTTCTCTAGCAACTCCAGGACTGTCAGGTGCATCCTATTTCTTACTAGTTGTGACCCATGGGGGAGAGGGCTCAATGCACCCACATCTTGACACTTGGGGAGACACTTGGGGTGAAGGACAACCTAGCTAGAACAGGAGAGTGAGAATTTTCCAATAGAATAGTTGGTACTCTGCCAGTTTACATCTTACTTAAATTGCTATTAAAGCTCTATGATATTGGACCCAAATTTACCATCGTATTTTGTTGGCTTCCACTTATACACTGCCTTGCATTAATGAGAAGGCCATACAGCTCATTAGCCCTATTTGGGAGTATATAAAATGGATATAAAAAATTATAGATGAAAGGACAGATGAATTTTTAATACTCTAGCTATTTATTGACCTATTGCTTTTCAAAAAAAAAAAAAGTCCCTTGAACATTTGGAGGGGGTTTACTTGATTGGATGCTAGGATTGAAAACAATTTTTGTCCTAGATTTCAGTTGTTACTTTATCATAAAACATTATATTTTAAAATAAATTGGTTTTACTTTATACTCCAACCAATTGGAATCAGTTGTTCCATGGGATTTTACATAATACATCCTGCAATATTAAAGAGCTCCTCAAGCTTAAATGTATAAAAGAGTCACTTTGAGATCTTGTTGTTGTTGTTAACTTTCTTTTTTTTTAATTTGATTCACCCTGGCTGATGTGGCTGAGTGGACTGAGTGCTGGCCTGCAAACCAAAGGATTGCCGGTTCAATTCCCAATGAGGGCACGTGCCTAGGTTGCAGGCCAGCTCCCCAGCAAGGGCACACAAGAGGCAACCACACATTGATGTATCTTTCCCTCTCTTTCTCCTTCTCTTCCCCTCTCTCTAAAAAAATAAATAAATATTTTTAAAAATTGTTTCAGTCATATTCAATATTATTTTGTATTAGTTTCAGGTCTACAGTATAGTAGTTAGATGATCATAGATTGTACTTTACCAAGTGATCCCCCTGATATTTCCAGTACCCATCTGGCACCATACATAGTTATTACAATATTATTGACTATATTTCCTATGCTGTACTTTACATCCTTGGGGATCTAGTTAAATGCAGGTTCAGTGGGTCTGAAGCTGACCTAAGATTCTTCATTTTTAACAATTTTCCAGGTGATGCTGTTGCTGCAAGCTAATGAACCAAATTTTGGGCAGCAAGATTATAGATACCTCAACTATCTACCTAAGACCATATCTAGAAGATAAAACTCAGTAGATAGAAAAGCGTGAAGGAAGTACCAAATTTTCTAATTAGTGCTCTCTCAAGCTCTGAATAAAAACATGTGATGTTTTAACATCTTCGTCTCCATACTTTTTCAACATGAAGGAATCCCTTAAATAGCCTGCCTTGCCCTGACCAGTGTGGCTCAGTTGGTTGCACATCCTCCCTGAAAAGCAAAAAGTCATCAGTTCAATTCCCAGTCAGGGCGCATGTCTGGGTTGGGGTTGGGGAGTGGTTCGTCTCTGGTCTGGGTGCACAGGAGAGGCAACTGATTAATGTTTCTCTCTCACACCAGTGTTTCTGTTCCCTCTTTTTCCCTCCCTTTCCCTCTCTCTAAAATAAGTAAATTTTAAAAAATAAAAATAAGTGGCCTGCCTTACCCCTGACCCTACCGAGTCCCTCCTCCCAGTCCCCTGATGAAAGGGGAGCTATTCATCACCATTGGTCAATTGCCATTCAAGGATATGAGCCCCAGAACTGCCAGACATTCTGATTTTTGTATGAAATCTTCCATTTTTACAATGTTGGCACCTGATTCAAAAATTAAATGAAAAACCGGTGTGGGCACAACAAAACACATCTGGCATCAGTAGGCCTGTGGAAACCAGTTAGCAACTCCGAAGAGTGTTACACTTTCCGGGTCTATCTGAATTCTCAGCCTCTGAGAAACAGTCTGCTCGAGAGGGGTTGTGAAGCCTCAAATCTAATCTCCCACCACTTTCTCTCCATCTCAGATGCTTTCCTTCCTTCAGAGGTACATAACCTCCTTGCTTCCATCTTGTCCTCTGTCAGTTCTAAGTCGATATATAGGCTTAATGAAATTCCTATAAAAATGACAGCAAGATTTTTGTAGATACAGACTAGATTATTGTATTTACATATTTTTAGACTAGACTATTTTAAAATTTGTATGAAAAGGCTAAAGAACTAGAATAGCTAAAACACCTTTGAAAAGAAAAAGATCAGTCTCCCTAAATTTAATTATTATTATAGCTATAGTGATCAAGACTGTATGGTATTAGCAGATTAAATGTAAAGTGTATAGCTATAAAGCCCTTAGGGAAAAACACAGGAGTAACATGCATAGAACTGCAAGTATCCTCTGTGTCAACTAAGGAACAATAATATCATTGTATGTAATTTTGGTATAAGAAACAGATTTCAGACTAGAGATTTTGTGGGGTTACTTCCTGGATTGGATTCTTTTCGGCAACACTGATGAGACCTCAAATTTCAGTTTATAGTTGCTATGTTAGTGACTCTGTAAGTTCCAGGGGAGACAGTTGTAGAGCCCAAATCCTTGGGTTAAAGTTACATATTAACCTAATTCTTCTACCTACCCATGGAAGTTTGTAAGTCCATCCAATGACCCTTTTAATTGATTTTGCCCTTCTGTGGCTCTTAACTCATATTCTGCTTAGGTCTTAAGACCATTGACCCTGTCAGACACCTGCAAACTTCTCATGCACTTCTTTGGCCAACAGAACTCCCACGGAGGATGCAAGGACGAGCCTGAGTGAATCCTGGGGATCTCAGCTCTCTGGGTCTGGGCATGACACCCTAACTACTGATGTGAGAGCTATATAGCTTCACCTTCTTGAGTATCAGTTAATAAGTAATACTTTAAGCTCGACAGAAAAAAAATCAAGAAATGGAAGTAGAATCGTGTTAGAGAATTAAGGCATCAAAAACTTTAAGGGACTCCTCTCTAATGTCCAAACCACAAGGATCACCTGCTGTTAGTTGTGTTCACCTGTCTCTGACAGGTTAAGGAAGAAGCTGGGAGTGTGCTGGCCTCTGGTGAGAGAACTCGCCGGCCAGGGTTCAGGAAGAAGTGGGGGTCTTTAGCCCTTTCTTGCTCCTTGATGATTTGCTGTGTGTGCTTGTGTGCGTGCGTGTGTGTTTAACTAGGTTTCCATTACAAAGTTATTCCAACCGTTCAGGAATGCTAAAATAGTCCCATTAGAACTGAAAATCACCCGGCTTCCCGAATACATCCGTTTCTTTCTCTGCAGATATTTTCCCGCTGTTGGATTTTCCCTACCGCAGTGGAGCTCCGCCTCTCGCTCCCTGGCGGCTGGGGAAAGGGCGGGTCCGCAAACAACGAGGGGATGCAGGAGCCCGTGTCTGCACTTGTGCGATCTCGGAGAGAAGCCGGGCTGCGGAGTTTGGGAGGCACGGCCTGGAATACAACGAGAAGGGCGTGGATAGGGAGGGGCTTGCCCCAAGCCCTTAAAATAAGGCTCAGGCCTGAGCGCTGCTGCCGCAGTCAGGCCCACCTGCGACCTCCCGACTTGCGTCCACAGCCCTGCTCCGTGAGAGGCTCGCCGCAGCATGGCCACCCCGAAGCGGTTTCCAACGCTGGTGCAGCTGGAGCAGTGGGAAGGGACGCTATTCCAGATGCTCAGTAACATCACCAAGAGGCCCTACTGGTTCCACACCGAGTACCTTAACAGTCCGAAGGCAGTTCATCTTGAGGCGTGGCTGGTGGAAGCGATCTTTGGTGAGTGGCCAGAGAAGGGAAGCCAGTGCGGCTTCCTTTCTCGACTCCTACCAACCCGGTCCCCCAGGCTGACCGCATCTCAGGGCAAGCCTCCTCCGTGGCCCCGGCCGCACTCCAGTGACCCCGCCGCCTCCCGCTCCAGTCGCTTTCCTTTCCCTTGTCCCCACCCCTCACGGCCTCTCTCCCACCCGTGCAGGCCCGGGCGGAGAGCACATCCCTCACGTCGAGTGTGTGTCGCAGACCCTGCTTCGCATTAACCAGTGGGACCCTGAAGGCGAGGCTGAGATCTTGATATTTGGTCGGCCTTCTTATCAGAAGGACGTGTCCGAGATGATCATGAACTTGGCTTACTACCACCGCCAGCTCCGGAGGCAAAGTACGGGACCGGGGAGAGTGAGGGGGACCCCGGACAGGTCGTGGGTGCCTTGGGAGGGATCCTGATGCTTCTGAATGTGCCCGGGCAGCGGTCTCAACCTTAGTCCGCCGGGAGTGGGTTTCCTCTTTACCGGAGATCTAGAAGGCCAAACTGACCCCGTGCTGTCAGATTCCGGGCCCCCACCCCGTGAGCCCGGACGACGACTCCTAATGTGGAGAGAGTCCGGGGACACAGGTGCGGTCTCCTTACGCTGCTTTTCTTCCAGGCTCAGGGAGGATCGCTGCTCAAGAGACCGAGACCAAGAGCTCCCCGGACGCCGCCCGGGAGGCGGCCACCCAGCGGTCCCCCGACGGCGCCCGGGAGGCGGCCACCCCCCGGTCCCCCGACGCTACCCAGGTCCCAGTTCCCGGGTTATGAAGTCATTTCGGGGCCCGGGGCGAGAGCCAGGCAAGGTTCAAATGGAAACCCCTATCGAGAAGATGTGAATTGCTCTTAGTTTCCCCTCCTCATGCCCCACCCCATGTTAAATGTTTGCAAACACGAATTTAAAAAGGCCTAACAAAGACTAGAACTTCCCTAATAAAGAGTCGAATTCGCTACAGTCCGTGGAATGGCAGGTAGAGAGGGTGGGAGAGGCACCTGACTCCAGGCACCAGTATCTGCTCTAGGCTGCTTTGTATCTACAAGCCGGTGAGACCTTTTGGATTTCTAGCCGCCAGAAGCCTCAGTCTTCACTGGCAGATGCTTCCTTCGAGCTCCTTAACTGCACACACCTGGCTTTGCCCGGCGCGAGGCCGCTCCTGCCCGTGGAGCCTGTCCTCACCGGGAAACCTCTCCAAACCTGCGGTGTTTTCATTCAAAGAGGCAAGGATTCCAAAATTTGTTTCCCATCCGGCAGGCTGGGTATACTGTGCCGCACAGGAAGCTGCGACTTCCCAGCTCGGGCAAGCGTGGGTAAGGGGCGGTGAAACCGGGAGAGACAGCGGGACTGCTCAGCTGTCGTCCTCAAGTCTGCCTGGTTCATCAGGCCTCCAGTGAGGTTTGACTCGAGCGGGACGTACACAGTGCCAGTGACTCACAAACGCAGCGACCAGCTGCCGCAGGGCACTCGGTCACTTCTTACAATTTGACTTCTAGTGTAAATTTAAGGTATTTAACATGTTAATTTGATACATTTACATATTATATGACTGCCATTGTAGCGATGATTAGCACCTCTTCCAGGTTTGGCTTCCCAGCTCCCGAGGGCTTGGACACAGGTGCCTGCTAGAAGAAGGAAGCAAACTGTCAATAGTTGGGCGTTCAGATCAGAAAACAACAGTAAGCCCGATCTTAGTGTTAGAAAACTTACATTTTCAAAACTCAAGGGCACCTACTTTTAAAGACCAGGGGGTGGTACGTCTATCATAGACCCTTTGGTTACAACTAATTTAAGACAATCACTGCAATTTTAAATAAGCATTTATTTTACAGTAAGAATAAAGATACAAAGCAGAATTTACAATAGGTTATTAACTATTTTTTAGAAGAGTCAGGAAAAGCCAAGGTACTTCGATGTGGATGGATACCGGCCAGCAGTATCCATCTCAGCTGTGGATGCTCATCAAAACATGCTAAAAACAGAGACAACCAGGTCCTGTGGGGGAATAGGAACAGCAGGGCCACTCTTCACGTGGGGAGTACCTTAGCCACCCTCTCTCCTGGAGGGCGCCTTGGCCACTCCTCACGTGGGGAGCACACCTTGTTCCCCCTCTGGCGAGGCTTTTTAGTTTGAATAAGAATTCAGGTAAAAGCTCATTACTCATTGCTAGGAAGTAAGGATCAAACAATAGATAACAAAGAAGTCTGAGGGCCTATTTTGAGTCAGGGTCAAACAGCTGTAAAACTTTAAAGAACAAAGTTACTTCTTCCTTGGACCCTTATCATTCAACTGAGCATTCTAAACAAAGCAGGTTTCACAGGATCTTACATATTCTTTCTTAGGCCTGATTACCCGGGGAACCCGCCCTTTTCAGCACAGAGCTGCACCACGCTGTCATTGTTTCAGGCTTAGGTGGAGCAAGGGAACTAAGGCACCAAGAGATAAGGAGATTTTCTCGCAGATGATGAGGACTCAGGCTATGTCAAAGCCGAGGGGCTAGGGTCCATCCCCACTTTTGCCATACCCCTCAAAGTCCTTCCTTGGAGGCCTCCCATGTGATCGTGCCTGTCTTAGATTGTTTCCCCTTGGGGTATCTTACCCATCATTGGCTAACCAACCAAGCACTGGGGGCCAGGCTGGGTGAAGTAAAAGGAGCAGAAGAGGTGCTCCTGCCAGGGAGATAAGCTTTTGTCTCCTTGCTGGCTTATGGTCCAAGGCCACTCCCTCAGCCTTAGCCTTGGCAGGGTTACAGCTTCTGATACCAGGCAGGGCGGTTCCCAACACTTCAAGATCCAGTATCAATGTGGACACAAATTTTCCACTGAGGCTACAGAGTAAACAAGATTCAATGTTGCTCCCCTGCCCCCTCTAAGTAGTACCCACATGACCAGAAAGGCAGATTCTCTCCTTTACAGGGAAGATTGCTGAGCAGCAAGTAGCAAGCCAACGGGAACATTCAGGAGTCTCTGACTATTCTAAAACTTTCACAAAAATCCCCTAAACACACAGACATATCTGAAATGATTTTGGGGTGGGGGCTGGTACGATACAGTAAACCTCCTTGGTTGCAGGTTGGAGAGATCAAGAAAGAAGGAAAGGTTGAACTTTAAAAGCATTCAGTTGTGATGACACAATTCTTTGTGCATGTATAGTGCTGATTTTTAAAAAAAATTTATTGTAGAAAGGAAGGTAAAGAAAGGGAGATAAATATTGATGTGAGAGAGAAACATTGATTGGTTGCCTCTTGTATGAGACCTAACCCACTACCCAGGCCTGACCACAGATCTAACTGGCAACCTTTCGCCTTGTGGAAGGATGCCCAACCAAGTGGGCCACACTGGCCAGGCTGGTGTTGATTTTTTTTTAAAAGTATAGTCTTCTCAACATGGCATGAACCAGTGACATCTGAGTTTTCACCCAAAGTCCCTATCTTATAGACCTCCCTATCTGCTCTCTCAAATGTACTCCTACAAAAAATCACTTAACAGTTTAACTTATATGTACTTTTCCATAATTGCACGTACTTTTTTTCTTCCAGCAGCTTGATGGCTTCAGTATAGGTACACTTTAACCTTCCCCTTACTACTGGTTGATTAATTTATTAATTGTATTTTCCATACAAACAACTATAAACATACTTTTTCCCCACCCTGTATTTCCTCAGAGAGCTTCCTAGAAGTGAAATTGCTGGGTTAAATAATGAGCACCTTTAAAATTTACTGCCAAACTCTTGTACAAAATGTACAAAATGGCCATAACAATGTATTTTTCCACTACAAAGTATGAAAGCTATTTTCACTGTACTCACCCAAACTCCATGTTACCAATACATTTCGTCCATATGTGACTTTTTACATTTTTTTTATTTATCCCACTATTTTAACCATGTAGCTTTATAGGGCAAGCCTACTCTCAAAGTTCAAATTGGTAGTCTTGGTCATTTTTTTTTTCCCAAATGAAGTAACTTGTTGAAGTACATAGAAAAATAATTGAGGGAAAAGGATAAATGTCTTCCAAAAATATTGGCTTCATTAAGATACACTAGAGTGCTTGTTTTATTCTTATTCTTTAAACTATATGTGCATTATATATGCATGGACATGTGTGTTTCACTAGTTAAAAGATGGTAAATTATATGCAAATGCTGGAAACCAAGGCCCAACACAGTCAACAGAAGGTTATCAAGGAACAAGGGCAAAACCTACAGGAGTCTAGAAAACAGTGACTCTTTTCTGTACATTTTTGAGGGTAAAATGAGTGATGGCTAATGAAGTCAGACTGAACAGTTTTTTATTAGACTGACGAGAGGCATCGAAGAAAAAAGTTCACTGTTGACGGAATCTGTAGAAAATTTTCAGTTCAGCTATGGAACACACATGACAGCCGGTCTCAGAGTTTTCCTTCAGCTCTGCCGTAAACCAGGTTGGCACTGCTTCCCTCATTAGAATTTCTCAGCTCCACACTTTTGATCAAAACAAGGCCTTGTGAAATATGACAAAGAATGAGGCAAAAAAGCCCCCCCCCAAACAAATCATGCACCTCCTGATGTGATCCACTGAGGACAGAAGATGATTTGTGTAGTATTTTTGCCAAAAATATATATATAACCTAGATCTAAGGGTGAGGAAACATCAAAAACAAAAGCAGGGTTGTAAACGAGGGAAAGAGAAAGCTGTGTAGTCTGAGAGCAGCAAACACTGCTTACACATCTTGGGAGCAGGGTAAACTGGTTGGCAGAAAATAGCTTAGTGTGGACAGTCTTTGAGTGGGCTTACTGGAGAATACAAATGGAATCTCTGCAAAACACTGAAGATTTAGCCAGGCCCTGGCTTCGCTGGTCAGTGCATAGTCCCATAACCAAAGGACTGAATTCCAGGTTGGGGTACCTGCCTGGGTGGTGGGTTCAGTCCCCCAGTCCAGATGGGTAGAGGAGGCAACTGATGGATTCTTCTCACATTGATGTTTCTCTGTCTCCCTTCCTCTCTCTAAAAGCAATGGAAAAAAGAAGTCCTCAGGTGAGGAAAAAAAATTTAGCCACAGAGCATGTGACAGTCTATCTCTGTTATGGCTGCCTCTGTACTTCTGCTCATACTTCAAATTTAATAGACATCTATCTGCACTATTTACTTTCCTCAGGATTTTTCACTAGACACCCAGGAAAACCTTATTTATAGCCTTCCTGATTCCTGGTGGAGCACTTGTATAATCAGGTTTTAAAGACCTTCACCTGATAGCATCACTCCTTTAAAAAGTGGTTATGATTAGCCTTGGCTGGTGTGGCTTGGTTGGCTGGAGCCTTGTCCCATGGACCAAAAGTTCACAGTCAGGGCATATACCCAGGATGCAGGTTTGATCCCTGGTTGGGTGCATAGAAGAAGGCAGGCATTAATGTCTCTCTCTTTCCACCCCACCCCACTTCCTCTCTCTAAAAGCAATGGGAAAAAAAAAGTCCTTGGGTGAGGATTTTTGAAAAAAGTGTTGTGATTGTAATTGGAACTGCATTGAGTTTTTAGATTAATCTGGGAAGAATTGACCACATCTGTGCAACACTCTACTTTGCTATCCATTTATTCAGTTGTTTTCCTTCCCTCCTTCTCTCCTTTGTCCTTTTCATAGTCATTCATAGATATTTCAGCTAAAGGAATAGTTTCTATATTTTATCAGAAATAAAATTTCATTGTTCAGTTGGTTGAGCATCAACCCAAAAAGCAAAGATCACCAAAGGTCCTGATCATGCCTGGGTTTCAGGTTTGCCCCCCCAGGCGGGAGTGGAGGG